TTGAAGTATTTGTCAAAGAATTGTGATATATTGAATAAGTGAAATTTGACTAGTCAATATTGTAGCATTTTAAAATTCTTTTAAACTAGATTGTTTTAAAAAGTGAATTATTAAAATATTATTGCTTAAAGTTTTTTTCTTGTCTCTCTCTGTTGTTAACAAGCTTATTTGGAAGACCACTTTTACATATCTGGTAATCTTTGACATTTTTATGACATTGTTCTTTATCAGTTTCAAACAACACTCAGAATAGTAAGTAGATATGGATGATGTTTGGGCCAAACATATGCAGAAACAGTTACTCCTCTAAGGTCCAACATTACTATTATTATAAAACCATGGGCATTACATTTTAAAATCTCAAAAAGCAGTTCTGGCTCTTTGTTATATATTTATATGAATGGGTACAATTATGTATATGTAATATAGAGAGACACTTAACATTTCATTAGCAGCATATAATGATTATTAAAATATGTCTCAAAAATTAAAATTAATATTCCATTGGTAACCAAGTATATTAACTTAGTAGTCAGTCAGGAGAAAGGTTATTTTGATGAACGTACTTCTGAAAGACCATTTGAACTCAACTGTTTTTTAAAATCTAGTTTAAAATGTTTTTTTATTTTTATTTTTATTTTATTTTTTTTAGTTGTAGATGGTCACAATACCTTTATTTTAGTTATTCTTATGTGGTGCTGAGGATTGAACACAGTGTCTCATACATGCTAGGCAAGTGCTCGGCCACTGAGCTATAATCCCAGTTCTTAAAATATGTTTTGATTGGGCAGTTTTCACAGCCATGAATTATCTTAAAATCATCTTTACTTAGTATACAATTTTATATGTGCTTTTTATCATCAATATCTGCTGATAGTACCACAGCAAATTTTAAATATCTTTGGGGTCGATAAAATAGAAATAAATAAAATTGCTAATTTTAGAAGGATATGTTATTGGTCTGAAAAGTAGACATCTTATGTAGTTTTATGAACTAACATTTCTAGAACTTGAATGATATTCTGAGACTACTATAGATATATGCAGACATTGTAAATAGTATATCACATGCTTTATTCTAGAGGTTTTCTTGTCCTCCAGATTGCCGATATTAACAAAATTCACTTTTCTAAGTTTACTGTTCTTTAATAATTAATCAAAGCCTAATATTCACAAATGCAGCTTATTGCCCATAAAACAAGACTGTAACAAATTGTAATAGAAAGTATTTCTAGGTTAATCTAAATTATTTTAAATAATCTCTATGTTCTGTCCTTTAATTTTCTGCTATGAGATCTTGCAATTCATTGTTTTTCATATCCTTTTTTTTGTTTTTGTTTAATAAAAACAGTTATTTTTCCAATGTTTATTCATTAAAGGTTAGGTTTTTTTTTTTTAAGTCAGAAACCATGGTTTTTGATAAACATATAGTGTATATGTCTTATTAAATACAAATTATTTTCACTTTGCTAGGCAGCACATATTAAATACTATCCCATACGTATGATTCTGATATTATTAAATATTAAGAACGAAGAAAAATACCTAATATCATTTTATTTTAATTTACCATGAGCAAATAGGTATTTCTGAATTTCCAAAGTACCCTTTTAGGGTATACTGAAATGTATATAAAACTCAAAAAATATTCACAGCATTGTGAATGTTCATTGGATCTTATAGCCTGAAATTTCCAGCATAAAATTGGTATGGTAAGACCCGTCTTAATAAAATGTATCGGTCAAATAATAAAAAACCCAATAGTGTGTTTGCATTATGGGATATGTTTTAAATATAGTTGTAACCTCTAAGGGACTTCTGATTGAATTCAAGCACATTATTCATTAATTTTTTACTAGAAATATGCTTACATATGTCAAATATAAAAAGCATTCTGATACTCAGTCCTAAACAAAGAATCACATTTTGAAAACTGTTTTCCAGATCAAATCACACAGTTCTTTAAGTATTTTCTCAGAGTAGTAAATTGGTGGTACCTACTTATCTAAGGTTTTAATACCTAATACAATAGCAGAGCCCCATCAATATATGGCTAATTGCAGATATAAAGTATCTGCTGGTAGTCTATCTCTCATAAAACCGCCTTTAGCCTTAATTCAAATCTATTGATTCCTATTCCAGTTAAAACTGAAGAACTTAATATGTCTTTTAATCCTTTTATTGTAAGCTAGGATAAAATTAATTTTACCCTAGAACTGCACAAAGCCAATTAACATGATCTTTAGAGTTATTTAGTAAAGTGCTTCAAACTGTTAAATTTATCTTGACCTCTTGGTTGCACTCTCTGACTGCTTTTTAAATGAAGTAATCAATATCTCATAGCCCTTTAAATAGCTTAAACTTCTCAAATATTTTACCTGTGCTCTAGTTAAGCTGTAAGTAAAGTGTTTACTCCTGTTCGTGTAAATCTGGAGTCAATTATGCTAAATCTAAAGACAATTATGTACTTTTGAGGAACACCATATGAATTAAATGGTTGTTTTAATAAAATCAAAGCCTCATATTTTGTTAAAAGTAACCCAATAATGAGGAAACATTATTTTCTCACAAAACCTGCATTCAGTTTGCAACTTAAAATGTAGAACATTTATGTCCTTTACTATTGCAGGCAGCTTCTGTTTCCCACACAGAGTTGGTTGAAGGTATTAATTTTCTTACTGTGATAGGGTGATCAACCGTCCTGTCAAGAAAATGGATCTCCATGTCACCCTTTAGCATGATTAAATGGAGCCATGTCTCTGTGAAAAAATACCAAATTTTCATGAGACAAATGAAACTGTAGAAAGGTTTACTTTTACAGAATTATTTTATTTTTAATACCTCAAATGTCCTAAATAATTGTTAGTTTATTTGTAGGAAAGTATTGCAGCTAATTACATATTCCTTTTATTATTTATCAGAAAACATAGGCCAAAACAGTAATTTAAAGATGTTTCCAATTTGAGAATCTAAAGAATAGAAATTGTTGTGCTACTTTTAGAACAGTGGTAGGGGTGGGCACCTGACTTTATGCATGGACTAATCAGTCAGTGTCTTTTTTAGGACTTCCTTGCCTTTACTTCTTTCCTTGTTAACAAAGAGCTATCATCCTTTCAGATCTGAGTGATGATAAAAATTGCATACCATAGAATTTCAGCATCCTTAGTGTTAATAGCCAATTGGGCAGTATTATTATGAGACTATACACATGCCAAACTTTAAATTACACCAAGTGATGTACTTGACAGCTAATTAAGATTTCATATTTTGGTCACTTAGCAGAGGGCACCTGTTACAATTCTTTCTATTAGTGTAGGGATAAAATGTACAAATGGCTGCTTGAAAGTACATTATTAGAACTTCCAAGTCTTAATTCCTTCCCCAGGAGTGGGAGTTAAGACAAGATTGAGGTAATTAAACAAAAGGAACATAGGGAAGGTGGGGGGCCAGGGCTGGAGGCGGAGCTCTCCAAATGCCCCTGTTGTTTAATTTCCTACTGGAAGCAGCCCATGTGTGCTTCTGTGCCCCCTCCCCCTTCAAGCAGTGGCCGTTGCAGAGGCTGCAGGCTGGGGTCAATGCCTTGCCTATTGATCAGTATCCCTGCAGTCCCCTGCTCCAGCAGCTGCTTCATTGGCTTCTTTCAGGGCCTGCTTCAGTACATTAGAATAGAAATCCATAACCAGAGCTGTGCTCATCCAAGCAAGGGAAGAAACTAAATTAAATGGTATAAAACAATCTTGGATCAGGAGTTTGTGCCAATTCATCTTGATCTAAGATGTCACACCGGGCTCTCTGTCTGAGCACCTGGGCTAGAGGCAGCCATAGTGAAAATAGATGGAGCTGCGATCATTCATTTGTCAGCTAAGGAGCAAGGCAGCGGTTAGCAATTCCCTTCTGCAGAGGTCAGCTGACAGAACAATCAGTGCAACTGCAGAATAGAGCTTTCCTTTGAACTATTGTTATGGAGCATGCTCTTGCTGAGACATGGGGGGAGGGGAGCTTGGTTTGCTTCCTGTTTCAAGAATACTATGTAAAGAGTAAAATATCTAGTACTGCAGTCCGTGAATTTAGATGCAGTACACTGAGCTCTTACTCCTGTGTCTGTTCTTGTACATAAATAAAGTTGGTCTTAAATGCATGTACTGAGATATAGATTATCAAACTGTTAAATATCACTTTGTCTAGAATTAAGGTCCTTTTAAACACAGAGGCAATGATTATTGATTTTTTTTCTTCTGAGTATGGTTAAGCTTTTAGGTGTTATTTTTTTCCCCCTCACTTTAGTTACCTTACCTATCACAGATCAGTGTCATACTTTGAATCAGTAATAGCATGTACTTGCTAATACTTGTTATTAACATTTCTTGTCTTCATAAAACAAAAAAATTTCATTGAGAGGGAGAAGTGACACTCTGTGATGTCATTAGAAAATATTCTTGGTACAAATTAAATATCTTTAAACATTTAAATCTAGGGTTTTTATAAGAAATGTAACCAATGAAATATGGTTTATCATGATGTTGGAAATTATAAAATAATTTTTTAATATTGGAGAAGCACCACACATTGTGAAGCTGCCTACATATGATCTAAAATATACTGTACAGAACTGCATAAATAAGGAAAATGGGTAATAACTAAAATTTTATATGAAAGAATTAGAGTATTTTTAAGGATAAATCTATTCTTGTGGACATATTTAAATACTTGAAAATTTAATGATAAATTTCCTGAAGTAACTTAAAAAACAATAAAGTATGATACACAGATTCTCGATATCATACAGAAACTATTGCTGCAATCACAGCCAATCTTTTTTGCATGATATCTACCATTTCTTTTTCTTAGACTTCAACTATCTTTTTGCCAGCATCCAGTTGTCCCAGTGCCATTCATTGAAAACACTATTCTTTCTTAAATGTCGCTTAAGGATATATTTCTAATCATAATTTTTTTTGTATTGATAAGCTTTTAATGTATATTTCTGTTGTGGTTTTTAGGTTGTTTATCGAGTATCCCACAAATGAAAAAAATTTCAACATCCTATGAGGAAAGACGGAAGCAAGCGACAGCTATTGTTTTACTAGGAGTAATAGGAGCTGAATTTGGTGCTGAAATTGAACCTCCTAAATTGTTGACCAGACCTCGAAGTTCTAGTCAAATTCCTGAAGGCTTTGGTTTGACTAGTGGAGGATCCAACTACTCACTGGCCAGACATACTTGTAAGTTTTTAAATTCCTAATGCTGATCTGTTGCTTTTTAATACATATTATTTGTCAAAAAATTTTTCAGAGTATTGAATATAACCTGAGGGTTAGCTCATCTAGAGTGCTTGCAGTGAAATTAGAAAGTGGTACAATCTGTTAGACATGTTGCTCTCCAGTTATAGTTACCTGAACTTCTTTTTAAAAATTAAAACACGGTCTTTTAAATGCTTTTTTAAAAATAACATATTTCTGAACTTTGTGTTTTTGCATTTTTGACCAAGATTCTTGCCAAAATTTATCCAAGCTAATTTCAAGTTAAAATTTCTAACTTCTGAAATGATTTCTAAACTATGTAACTTTTCTTGCATCTGGTTTGAAAAGTTAGGGATGGTGTGGAACATTCTCCCCAAAGAAAAGTGTGAATGATGGATGATGAATTACGAATTACCTCTATAATTAAAAAAAAAATTCCCCAAGCTCAAAGGGTGTGTGTCACATAGCCACCCTAGGTTCTGTGCCAGGTATGTGAATGATAGATTAGGGTATTTTATAATGAGGTCTTTTAGTTCTTTACTCTTAGAACTCCTTTAGGTCAGGTCAAGGTGTGCCTACCATGTAGTGAATTGTGTCATATGTAAGCATCAAATGTAATTCCACTAATCACATCACAAGATATTCTTTGTAGAAAACAACTCAATATATTCTTTGAGGGGTTTTATCCTGAAACAAGGGGGAAAGGTGAATGCTATTTTGTTAGTTATGGCAGCAGAGCACTTCACTGGATCATTAAATTATAGTTTTGCTGTAAAACTGAGAGTCATGTTAGTTGCTTTTATTATGCAAGCTTTTCAGTTGACTTAACTGTCCCTTCTGCTATTCCTGTAGCAAATCGCCATTTTTGTTGCTCATGCTTTCACTATTATGCAAATTGCTATATTCAGGGGCCCAGTTGAAGAGAGCTAAATGACTAATGTGTGCTATAACACTATAATTGTGCTATAACAATGCATATAACAGATGTGCTATAACAATATAATAAAACACCATTTTATTTTCTGTCTTCTCATTTGATTTTCAAAATAGGCTTTTATGACTTTTTCAAAGTTGCTCAGCCAAAAAGTGGTGAAATCTGAACTTGAATTCTAGCTTCTTGTGATCTGAAAACTTATGCCTCTTCCATTCTCAACCTGGCACATCTCCTTCCCTGTCCTGCAGAGGACTGCGTAATGTGGGTCCTCACTTCTCAATTCTAGCCTGTTCAACTTTTCTTGAGTTCAGATTCACTGCTTTCTATTAATAAGGCCCTGATCAAATCTCATAACCTCTACAAAGGACTCTTTTAATTAGGCTTACTTATTATCTGTGTCATTGCAAGCAGCCCAAGGCATACATTATAATCTTGGAGTTAGAGTATTAGAGGGTAACAAAACTTTTACATGATTTAGTCTGGTGATTTTCAAACTTTTTTGCTTTCAAACACCATCTCCCTAAAGAGTATCAAGGAATGACTATACTTTGCTCATTTGTTGTTGTTGTTGTTGTTGATAGTTGAAACTTTTAATTGTAAGCTTGAACATTTGCAAAAGTTATAATTTTGACCACATTGATGTTTAAACTAGAATTCTTGTTCTTTTTAGTTTATTATTAAGCAGAAAATTTACCTTAACTATTTGATATCCATCATTATCCATTAAAAAAAACATGAACAAACTTTCCTTTAAAAGTGAAAAATCTTACATCCTTATTATTTTCCTTGAAGAGAAAATTTCTACCCTCAAAATTAACTACTTTGTCTTAATAACATTTGTGCTTTTAAAACTATTTCTTGAAAGTGAACATAAATCCTACTTTCTTTGGAATTTTCCCATAGACTCATATAAATATGCACATATAAATATAGGAACATAGTAGATTAATGAATTGCTGATTGAATTACTAGGCAGATTAATTTACATCACCTTATCCTAGTTATGTAGACTACCACTGTTACCATCACTTTTCTATTTACCATTATCTTCACACAAAATTCTGGTATTCATGAATTTGCTTCTGGATATTTTTTAACTGTGATGATTCCATTTGCAAATTGTTGCTATTGCAACTCAAAAAAGAGGAAAGGTTAGGAGAAAAGAGATTTAAAAACCTATGATAGACTACAAAGACATATATTTCAAAGATGTCCTGGGAATTAATAAAAGAATTGAAGGGCATTAGAACTGCCCTTTTGGCTGGGTGTAATTCCAGCAGCTGGGGAGGATGAGGCAAGAGGATTGCAAGTTTGAGGCCAGCCTCAGCAACTTAGCAAGGCCCTAAGCAACTTAACAAGACCCTGTCTCAAAATTTAAAAATAAATTAACAGGGGCTGGGGAATGTGGCTCAATAGTTAAGTACACCCCTGGGTTCAATCCCTGGTATTTAAAAAAAAAAAAAAGCCAGAACTTCTCTTTTGATTGTTAAAAAATAGGGAACATGTGAAGGCATCCCAAGGTGTGTTTGTAGCATGAGGGAAATCCTGGGTCAACCTGTGCTATGGGGAGGGACTTCCACACTGTACCTCCTTGGGTTTTCTCAGCAAGGTAAATAAAGTTACTTGAACATACATATCTATCTATCTATCTATCTATCTATCTATCTATCTATCTATCTATATGAGTGATTTAACCTAGGGGTGCTTTACCACCAAGCAACATCCCCAGTCCCACCCCCCTTTTTAGAAAATTTTTATTTTGAGACAGAATCTCACTAAATTGCTTAGGGCCTCTGTAAGTTGCTGAGGCTAGCCTTGAACTTTCAATTCTCCTGCCTCAGCCTCTCAAATTGCTGGGATTACAGGTGGGTGCCTCCACAACTGACACCTGAACATTTTAAAGAGCTAAATGATTCTTTGAGAATCTTGGATTAATAGTCTAGATATGGAAATGAAACAAGGCAGTGCTTCTTAGCAAATTGTATTCATGATTATTTCTTTGAAAGAGAGATTCTGAGAGGTTTCTAGCAAGCAAGGAGTAGTGCATCAATGAAATGAATGTTATAGTACCTATTACAGTCAATTAAAATATCTTTGATACTTACCTCTTTTCTTATGCTTATTTTATTTTATTGCAATAATATAGTATCTTAAAGGTAATCATACATTGGCTTTTTTCTTCCTTCCTATTACTCTATTTTTTTTTTTTTTAATTCAGTGGCTTACATTCATTGGTAGTAGCTTTGCCTCCCACAGGGAGTTTGGGGTTCTTTCTTTCTTTCTTTCTTTATTTTTTCAGTTTAAATCTTGTACTCCTGATTGGAAGCAGTCATGTGTGTGCTGCCCACTGTGTTTTACTCAGCTCTTTTCAGTCAGTCATGTGTTGTATTAACCTGTTATAATTAATGCTCACCTGCCAGAAGCTCAGCATGTGCTGCCATGTTTGTTTATGTGGCATCTGGAATGCATTGCTACCACTACATATTTACTCTTTATGGCATCTTATTGAATGAGATAACAATTAGTATCCTAAGTTTGAGATAAGACCATTAAGATACAATATTTGATGATCTTTAATTTGCTAACGTAGTTAGAGGTGTAGATAGTGAGTTCTACCTTCCTCACAGAGCTATTCTGTGAAGACTCATCATTTTTCACATGGTCAAATCCAAGTTGTCCACATTGATGGGAGGAAAAAATGACAGTAGTACATAATTCAAAAGTCACTTAGTTTTTTAATGCACTTTATATTTAGATTGAGTCTGGATAAATTTTCTTTAGGACTTAAACTTTACATATATTGAAATCATAAAAAAAGCTGAAAGAACTCTGAAGTTAACAAGAGGTATAGATTACGCTACTCTGTTAACTCACGTCCTTTGGGGAAGCTAGCCATCCCTCTGGGTTATAGTATCTTCTCATAAAATAATTGATAGAAAATATTTTGACTTTAAAGCGCCTGTTTTAGTTTCTGTTTCTGAAGTGAAATACAAAACATCCCAAGACGTTTACCTCCTTCATCTCCTTCCCATTTTTCTGTCTGAGGAGGGGTGGATATTTCCTTGTTTCACATGGAATGAATTCAGTAGAGATCTGTCTTCATTTTTATTCCAATCCACAAATGAGACATTAGTAGGGTATTTTAGAATACTATTTATAGTTTTAACTTGTAGGTCTTTTGGTTCATTTGTTCATTTGGCCTCTTCTTCTCATTTTATAATTGTAGAATTATGCTGGCACATCTGTAGTAAATTCCATTTTGATCTCTCATTAGCTTTTTGACTTTGGGCAAATGTCATAAGTCATTTCCCCAGGCAGCAGACTTGGAGACAGATTTGTGTGAGTATTCCCAGGATCAATAGCTTGAGGGGAATGAAAGAAGCAGGATTGGACAGGGGAGAAGTTGATCTGAATTTTAGTTGCATACAAAACCTCCGTTAATCTTGGGGAACTTGGACTGGGATAACCCTTTGGGCTTACCCCAATTTGAGCCTCAATTGGGACTTGGGGCTCAACTTTACTATCCCCATGTCAGACAGTCACTGGATCAGGGTGCCCCGAGAAGGAACCGACCTTGGATAAGACAGCCTTCCTTCTCCTGCTGCAAAGCCAGACATAGACTCAGCTGAGACTCGCCAACCACTAACATCCCCAGACTTTGGGAACACAAGTCCTTCTGGAGGGGGAGAGGTGGACTGCCTCCCCAGCTTCTGTGGGAACATGTGGCTGCCTTGCATGTTCCAGTTCACCTTTCTGTCATAACAGAAATGGACTGGGAAGGGACCACCATTTATTTAGGTTCCTTTTAATTAATACTCTGCACATATCTTTCATTAACTTTCAAGACAGAAATTTTTATCACACACCTGACAAAATATGAGACCCATAATGACAGTTGAGTTGTGACAGTTTACCACCAGGCATTTAGCTATGCCCTTTACATGTGCTATCTTATTTAATCTTCTAGTCCTTTCAAATAAGTACTATTTCTGTTCCTGATTATCAGAGGAGGAAATGGAAGCTTTGCCTAGTACTACCGCACATACTT